AGTTCCTGACGATGCTGATGTATTTAGATTTCACATTAGAGGGAGTTGGGAAGAGTTTTGTGGCATACATTCAGTTTTCGCGGTATTTAATAAGACCTTTATTATAATTTTTTTTTTTTTTTAACACAAATCACACTTTTCATTGGTTCGAAAAGACTTCCCATAATGATTAAATGAATACAGTCCTGCTGCGTCAATTGGTATTGTTGAAGAAAATATTTGCTGGTAATAATCTTCCTGCATTTGACATGTTTGATGGAGTGCTCTTTTCTGAAATAGATAAATCCACAATGTATGCTATTGTAAAACCGTTATGTTTATTGTTTAACAGGTCATTAGTTGATTGTATTTTTCCTTGTAAATGGAAAGTTGCTAATGTTCTCCCTTTATTTAAGAAAGATGATCCTTCTATTATGTCTAATTATAGACCTGTGTCATTGCTAAGTTGAATTGTATTGGTAAAGTAATGGAACGAATCATATTTAAACACTTGTATAATCACTTTCATGATAACAAACTTTTTTATAAATACCAAGCTGGATTTCTACCAGGTCACTCCACTGTATATCAATTAATTGAAACATATGATACTATTGTTAAAGCTATTGACAACGGTGAACATTGCATGATATTTTGTGATCTTTCTAAAGCTTTTGATCGTGTATGGCATAAGGGTCTCTTGTTTAAACTCAGAACTTATGGTATAGAAGGAAATTTGTTTCAATGGTTAAAGAGTTACATAGAGGGTAGATCACAACGAGTTTTATACAGAAACTTATTATCTGACAAAAAACCTTTATATGCGGGTGTCCCTCAAGGCTCAGTGTTAGGACCTCTATTATTTCTTATATATGTAAATGATGTTGCTGAAGAAATGACAAGTTTTTGTAGACTATTTGCAGATGATAACTCCCTTCAGCAGTCATCTAAAAATGTCAATACTATCGAAAACAAACTGAATTATGATCTTAACAAGCTAGAAATTTGGTCGAAAAAATGGCTTCTTAAATTTAACTCTTCTGAAACTAAAGCAATATTTTTCAACTTGAGAGGAAGTGTTAATTATCCTAAACTCTTCTTCCAGCAAAATCAGCTAGAATTTGTCTCTTCGCATAAACATTTAGGGATTTTTTTCTCACATGATCTTAGTTGGTCTACACATATTGATACCATTCTAACTAATGCGTATAAAAAATTGGGCTTATTAAAAAAACTTAAATTTGTAGTAAATCGGAAAACTCTTTCACTCATGTACACAACCTTTATTAGGCCACAATTAGAATATGCTTCACTAGTGTGGGGTGAGTGTAATGTAGGTGATAGCGAAAAATTAGAAAAATTACAATTATGTGCTGCTAGAATTGTCACAGGCTTAACTCTGTTAGCTTCTAAAGATGCACTTTACTTTGAAACTGAATGGGAACCATTGCAAGAAAGAAGGAAAAATACTAGATTAACTACAATGTACAAAATTTATAATAATCAAGTTCCTGAGTATCTGACTGATATAATCCCAAATTTGCGTTGTAATTCATCAAGTTACAGTACGAGAAATTCACATAACTATAACATACCCAAATGCAGATTACAAACCTACAAGTCAACTTTCATTCCCCTTGTTATTGATGAATGGAACTCATTACCTCTTGTTGTAAGAAATTCTTCCTATTATCTATTTTTAAAAAGTCTATTTCTTATAATAAAACTATGCCACCCTCTTACTTCAGTTACGGAAATCGACGCTTAAATATATTACATACAAGGCTTCGACACAACTGTGTACTTAATAGCGATCTTTTTCGATGTAATATAATCTTGAGTCCCTTATGTTCCTGTGGAAGAGTAGAGGACACCCATCATTATTTCTTCTCGTGCAAAAAATATACAGAAGCCAGAAAAGAATTTTTCGATAAATTTCTGCGAATGGGAAAATTACATACTGTCGATACTCATACATTACTCTGGGGAGATGAAAAGTTAAACAATGTTGAAAATGAATACTTATTTTCTATTGTACAAACATTTATTAAAAAGTCAGGTCGTTTTGGTTGATGCAATAATTACTTCTTGCAAATTCTATACAGCTTGTATATTGTATAATGTTTCTCTGATTATTATGCTTTTCTGTGTTTTATTCATTTTAAGCTGAAACCCATATATGTAAATATGTTTTGGTATAATTCATATGTAGGGAGAGGGCGTATTAAGTTTTAAGAACTTTTGCCCAATCCCAGTTGTAAAGTTTATAGACAATAAAATATGTTCAAACCAAACCATTTGACCGGTTATGAAAACAGTTTTAAAGGAAGCAATACCTTGAAACTTACGTACAGATTAAATTAAAATTTATCAGACGGTATTTTTCGTTTTTGTAATCGTTGTGATAATGAATTTCTGTATTGTTTATACAGCAAAGTGATTTGCACAGGAAAACAAGCCCTGAACCGCAATATGCAAATGAAATATTTCTTATACTACCTTTATTTTGGAATTTAGACAAAATTTTGTCATTTTGTCACAGAAAGTCATGTTTGAATAAGGAGTCTTGATGTAATATATGAGATAAGTTTTTTCTTATTTTCCATTCAACATGTACTCTGTTGTAAAAGACAGTATTCACCCTCATACGATGACACACGTATTCAATCCGTGTCTGCAAGACATGTCGTTTTATTTCAATAGATTTTTTGGTATGTAATTCGTGCGTATCCGAAAGTATCCCCCCAAAAGACAAATAAATGCTTCACCGAAACGACATATTTTGATACCGAATTAAATGTGCGAATCATTAAAAATTTCGTGATGTTTACTGGCCTTCTTTCCAGTCTCCGCTTCGACTCCGCCATTTTCTCTGTTGCAAAGAAAAATACGCCTTTGCAAAGGAATTTAGGCTGGACCCCTTGATTAGTTTCTATGAACGAAGCGGTGGTTATACCTATGATATGAGGATGTGGATCATACTTTGTTTTATAAATTTCTAACAAAGAAGCTCTGGATTAAAATATTCACAAGCTCGCCGAAATCCGACTGAAATATGCATATTCCCGTATTTGAATTTCAACTCCCAATATCTCTTAAAATATGCTTTCAACAAAGTTTATTGTATTCAGTATTTTAATAAACAAGGTTGTAGATATTTTTCATAAAATTACGATTTTTGAAAAATCATGCGATAAGTCCTTTAAATTTCCCCTTTAAAATGGACATAGTGAAGAAATAACACTCACGTAATGCTTTTCTGCAAGCTTTGCTGATATTGGCCAATTATTTAATGGCAGACGAACGCAGATTTAATACATAAATTACTGAAGGTGGCCTGTAATTATAATACAAACACAAAATGTCATTTTAACTACGATTTTATTAAATAAAAATAGCTCAAAAAATACAAAACTAAAAAATAATAATAAAGATACTGATATAATTTACTTCAGACAAGTATATATATAAAGACATTGTTACATTTTTTATAGGTCATATATATGTATGGTCTTCTTCGCATATTTTGATGGACAAAAAAATATCCAAGACTCATTACAATACTTTACTTTCCTAATCATTCCACTTAGAAGTGATTTGCAATATAAAATTAAGTATATGCATGTAAAATATAGAGGTACAAGTATATGAGGTAAATGAGGAAAATAAGAGGTAGCCAAGTTCCTACTTGTACTGTTAGCAAATACCAGCAAAAGATGCTTCATATTAATACATATTAAACAACTTTTCCACACTGACCTGATACATGTAATATTGGACACTACTGTCCTTGAGTGCATGGTTTACTATAAATTTTCAAACTACCCACCTCACATTAACTTGAAAGGAGATGGGCGAACATAGCGTGCAGAAAGCCAAAAGCTTCAGAAATATAAAAATCATGTTCAGTTTGTGAATTTAATAATTAGAGTAAAATTCTCATTATTGAAATTTATGAAATTGTGATAAACAGAATTTTTCTGAGGAAAATTTTCTCGGCAAAATTTATTCTTTTATTAAAAAAATTAATGTGGTGTTCATGGGGTTCGAACCCTAGCAATAAAAATGCCGAGTGTCATTTTCTTTCGAGACTAGCACACTAACCACTAGACTACACAAGTCCTGATGAACAGTGGCATTTATATCATGTTTGTGATATGACCCTTGACTTAATGGACTTCAAGTATTTCTCGAAAAGATGCGAATGTTATGTCATATAAGTATATTTTTAAGGAATAGTGGGTCATTGCTCCATATTTTTGGTAACCAAAAAATGTATATTTTTATGCACATTTTAGGAATTAACTTTCAAAAAGGTGGAGCGAAGACCCACTCATATCGAAAAATAGTGTTATAGTATGAAAAAATGACTCTTTTTGCCCGCTTTAGTGTGTGTTTAATATTTCACAGGCAAATAATTTCAATCTTTGAGGGATTTTTACAAATTGTAGAGATTTTACCTAAAGTATATTTTAATGTTAGACGAAATATCAAGGAAAATTTTGATATAATTGAAATTTAATTTTTCATCTTCATGTTTGTCACACTATAGGCTTATCGCTCGTCATGTTCACCCATCTCCTTTAAGAACACTTTCTATATATGAAAACAATTTCATTATTTTCTCCTAATCAAATGCAGGATAAATTCTTACCTTAAAAAATTTAAGTCTCTTGATCTTATGAAGATTTTATGTATTTTTGGATAAAATTAAAATAATCGACAAGCAGTCATCCTACTGAGGCAAAAGTCAAACTGTGAAGAAAACTATATCCACAGAGATACACAAATCTACAACAAATAGCTAGAAGGTGTAGAAAATACAGGGTATTATCAGAGAAAGTCACTAAAACAGATACAAATTTACCTCATCCTTATATGTAAGTAAGTGCTGGAAATTTTACCATCTTTTCACCCTTATATAAATTTGTAATAGATATATACTAACCACCCCCACCCCCCACCCCCCCCCCCCCCCCCCAAAAAAAAAAATCGGTTAAAGCTTATAATTTATGGAAAATTATATATATGACATATATATTTATTTTGCAGCATTTAAATCTCTAAATTTTAACAAGCAAATATGGTACTGTTGCTTACAAATGTCCAAGTTATAAGTAATTAACTGTATGTTTTACATGCAATAAAGATCTAAGTAAAAGAAAAAAAATAGTATGACTTCAATTAGACAGTACATTGTATTTCTTATATTTCATAGCACCATCAGTGTATAATAATCTATCTGTACCTCTAACAAAACAATACATATAATGAGGCATAAGACAACAATGAGACAATGTATGGCAAATTTAAGGTAGCACTGCATACACCAGAGGTAGATTTTTTTTCACTTTCAACTCTCCTCTCAGCCTCAAAACCTTTATTTCAACTGAAAAAAAGTTGTTCTGTCGCATACACAATTTTGCTACTTTTGTTTCAATAATACCTGGTAAATTTAAATTTTTTCACTTTCTTGGTTAGATTTATCACTTCCAGGCTTAATGCTGACCTTTTCGTCTTCTGGGTCCAAATAATTATAAAGAGGGAACTCACAACAACACAGACACTTAAAGGCCCCTGGGAGACAACCATAGCAGGGAGGGGGTACAGGGATCAGGGGACTAGTCCTTTTCTTGTATTCTAAGTATGCTTTATTCCTGTAAAAATAAGACCACGAAAAAATGCTTTTGTAAGTGAAATCTAAAGTCCAAGAAAAAAGATAGGTACATGTATAAATTTGTGGTGAAGAATATGGGAATCAAATTGGCTAATTCTTGTAAGCAAGAGGAACTTTGAATATTGCATTATAAATATCAGAGATCTTGATACCATACACTTAACACCTAGCTTCTTTTCTAACCACATTAGATTACATACCTTTCTACCCATAAATCTGTCATCTAATTTCTACAACTTTTCAAGGCTAATAAACTTTCATTAATTGTGGGGGTTTTTTTGTATTAAATGTTGACTTACTTTCTATATCTCTCATCTGACTTTTTCTCCAGTAGTGGGATGCCACTAAGGAAGAGTAGGATAGCCATTGTAAACAGTGGACTGAGAACTCCAGCCCACTTCCCATCCACACAGATACTGGTACTAATGATAAACATCCCTATCCAGATAATGATTTCACCAAAATAATTAGGGTGACGGGACACTTTCCACACACCTACAATAACAAGTGTACAATTATGTTATTTTCCACCTGCTTCAGTTGTTCAAAACCATGTAAATGCTACATCTTGGAATATCACTACAAGACTGATTTGTGTTCTAGTAAGCAATATACATGTACTAGTAGTTGTATGCATAGTTATGAATATCTATTGTTGAGAAAAATCACAGCTTAGGTAGGCTACTACCTTTATCACACCATTTCCCTTTGTTAGCTCGATCATTCCTGAAGCCGAACTTCTGGAAATCAGCAAAAGTTTCGATCACTAATCCTGTGACAAAGAGGATTGCACCGATGATGTCCTGTGGTGTCCAGTCATCATTAGGAGTCAGAAATGTAGCACTGTCTGGGGCATTGATAAATATTACAGGCAGACTGACTGTAAACACCCAAAATGCCTGTAAAAAGAATATAAACTGTAAATATCCAAAATATTTGTAGAGGGAATAAATATACATATTTTGATAGCAAATCTGCTTGTTTGTCCCAATAGCATTGTTCATATTTTGTTTACCTTTTCTTTTGTCAAAAAACAATAATCACATTTTCCTTAAAATCAAAACAACCTGAATGTTAAATTGAGAGTTGTAGTCATTTTATTTGGTTTAAAGTACTTCTGGGGGAATGTTAATGTCTTTTTAAAATATCAGAAATGTGTATCATATTGATGATTATCTTTTGCACCTAAACATCAAATGACTACAAATGAAAATTGTATGAACTATCTGCAGCACCTGGAAGGTCCAGAATCCAGCAAATTTAAGACAGTTTTCTCTCTTATCGTCAAACCGATTGTCTTCACCAATCTTGATAATTCTGTACAGTAGATATCCAGACAGACGAAGGCCCCATATAACAATAAAAACAGTCACCATGATCTGTCTCCACTGGTATGTCTGCAAACAATAAAAATAAAATTATATCTGTTTTGTCTTTTCTGACATTAAATAAAACAAAAATTTGTAAAGACATCTTTAATATTCACAGAATTTTGTTCAGCCTAAACCATTTCCTATAAATACTTGATATTTTTCTATTTGATTCTCATATAATACCCTATGGAAGATTATAAACATGTAAGTAGGCAATGAAAATATTATATTTTGTATGTCTACTGAGAATGAAGAGAGGATGGTCTTAAAGAGAGCTATAAACAATAAAACTAGTACTTTTTTCCAGCAATTGTTGTTGTTAACCTTTTATTGCTGGCAAGTTGTTGACTTTTTCCCTAAATAGGACAAGGTCTGACCCAAGACCTTTAATAAAATGTGTTGATTGCTTCACTGACAAACACGTATGGTTGGAGTGGAGTGCATATTTTCCAGCAAAACCTTTAAAGACCAGTCATCTCATTTCTGATTAAAATGTTCACTGCTAGAGGAATATAAATGAAACTTCCTAAACCTGGCCTCATGTACATTTGGTGTTGTTTTAATAAAGCATATAATTATATTATTACATATAATCATCATAAGTTGTCATTGTTGGGAAAATGTCTGTCTGTTTTTATTCATCCCGGGCATTATAATCACAAAATAATTACCGATAAAAAGCCAAATAATATTTCTATGTATTTTTTTTTTTATATCAAGAGGTTCATTTTTGCAACTGCTTCACATTGTTTAACTTCAATCTGGACCAGTTAATTCATAGCTTAAAGGAACTTCTAAAGCCCTCGATCTTTGCATATACATAATGGGTGGCTGCATGGCTATGCACATGGCCAATATGTGTATAATTCAGTTCACCTTACTTTCCTTACTATAGACTAATGGAATATTAATATCAGTCAAGAATTATTAGTTTATGAATTTGACATTTTATCAGTGGCTGAACTGTAGTAACGTATGTCTGAACAATAAGAAAATGAGAATGTTATTATTATAAACTAACACTTTCCTAAATGAATGATGCTGTTCTTTTCAGGATTTAAATCAAGCTTCTTTAAATCTTTTCCCCCAGTATAATTTTAAAGAAATATTATTTTCTATATTATCTTATTAATCAAAATATACAAAGTAAAAAAAATCTACTTTAATAAAAAAGAAAAATAATCAAGCAAACAGTCTGATTAAAACCACGCAGCCCCCCTTCTCCAATCCTGGATGATAAAAGGAGGGGGGCTGGTTTTAATCAGACTGTCAAGCAAATTATTTAGTTGCATAATTGGTGGTTTTGATCAATTCTAGGATTTTATTAAAGGCATAACTCTGTAAAGAAGCACATGCTTCGACAACAATTTTAATTTCAACATGCAAGTTTATTTCTAGAATTAAATTTAAAAATAAGGACACGTCTTCCTAATTTCTGTGGCACTCTGTGAACCTTGATTGATCCTTTAACATGTTTACTGACAACAAAGCAAGTTTTGCTTTGCCTTTTTTATGCTAAATAATAAATGCAATCATTTTGAAAACAGCATGTGCAGATTTTCATAACTTACGTACATGTAGTTGACGAACTTGGTAAATTATTGTAAAGACAAAAACACTTTATTTGTCAATAATATGTTTAGGAAATGATACCCACCAGGGTACACTACAGGCTTTTAGATCCCTTTATAATTCATATACATATATTTCTGCACAGCAAAGGCATATAAATTCTGTGCACAAATTCACTGGTTTTGTTTTATTATGAGTATGTACATGAAAAGTAGCATGTTTGTCACTAAAATTGAACTAATAAGCTTTGACTATATAAATTATTCTGTTCATTGATAAATGAATCTGAAAAAAAAAAAAATCAACAGCACACAATTTTATGAAAGTCTTTAACTTTCATACAGTATGTGACTGGTTTGTTTTAGATTCATTTTTTGATGAACGAAATAAATAATATAGATTATTGTATAATAGATAATGTATCATCACTTAAACATAGAATTACATTTGAAAAACGGCAACATTATCCATACATGTACTGTCGTTTTTCACTTACCTCAGCAAGGAAAAATGTCAGTATTCCCAGGACTACAAAATTAGTGCCTCCAGCAAAGTCAGTGACCTTATCAAACTTGCATGTACAAGCCACCAAGAAAAATGAAAACTGCATTGCAACTGTCACAATGGCACATATTGCCAAATTGTTTGTGTCTGCCTCAAAAACCAGCATAGTAACTGCTTTATGTCAAATGTTTTATTACCTGTAATGAAGGAGAGTATAAGTATATTAGTCTGGTGGGTGGCGATACCGCTATCCTCTGTTTTCAGAGGATAAAATATATCCTCCAGAAATGGATTTTGTGGAAGCCGTTTAGACCAAGAGGTCGGTGTCAAAATTATTTTTTTTTTAACAGACATTGAGACAACAGTCCAATTAAGACAAACCTACAAATTTCATTGAGAAAAAGTTATAAGCATAAATCTTATCTATTTTAATATTAGTTACATGATTTACACGGCAGAATCAATCTATAGAGAAGTATTAAGTAACAAGTAAAAAGTAACAAAAGTTCACAAACATGCCTAAAACAGAAACTGATTTGATTCTTTTCTACAAACAATACACTTGAGTTGTACTATGCCTAAATCTATAAATGATAGTCTTACCGACCTCGTAAGTGAAAAAGCGTAGATTCTAAATTATGATTCTTCCTTTCATTTAAAACATCTTTGGCTTGTGTAATTCGTTGCTTTTTGTTGCATAATCTACGTGCAGATGACAAATACACACATTCAAAAACGTGACAAAGTTTGCAATTTGGTTCTCTCATCGAGGACCAGTTTTGGGGGATGGTATAATGCCCTTTTAGTATCTGATTGACCTGAGTAAAATTTATAGCTCTGCTGAAATATTTTTTTATAACGATTTTTTTAATCTTTTTTTAAAGTGCAAAAAATTTAAAAAATTTTATTGAAAATATTAAACATTTATTTATCATTATCTTTAAGAATCATGGGAAAAAATGTCAAAAATAAACAAACAAAAACAAAAAACCTAATTAAATATCTATTGTTTGGAGTTTAACAGATATATTTGCAATTTTCTACCTTGAATACTGTTGAAGAAAGAAGTGAATTAAACTGTATATAGTGACATTCATAGATACAGTTGCATTTATAGATACAGTAAAACCTTTTGCACTTATATATTTTTTAAACAGTTGTCTTGGCTCACTTCAGAGTGATGTTACATTTCCTTGCCACATACATGTAACAATAAAAAAAAAAAGGTAGAGGTTACCGAAACATCAATCAAATTCAGTCTCTAAGTCTTTATTAATATGTTTTTATTTTTGAATTATATAATGTAGTAATTATTTACTCAATAAATGATCCATGCATACTAAATCTTACGCTAACAAAAAAATTATTTTTATTTCTTCTAAAATTCTGCATTTACTAATGTTAATATTTTTCAAATTAACAAAAAAGAATGACATTAAGTAAAAAAAATTAAACATTTCAAATTTATAATTAATATCTGTATGAAATAATGTTCTATTTAATTGATTCAAAAAAGTTAAAATCAGATTACAGGACCGAAAAAAAAAAAACATGGATGCATCTTTTGTTTATATCTCGGCGAAACACTGGATGGATTTACAGAGTTATGCCTGTTGTCTGCAGTTATTCCCAAGGCTGATTTAAAAGTGCCAAAATTATGCTTTCCATCATTAGATTTTCTTTAAAATGTTTACTAGAAATATTTCATAATTAAATAATTTGTGTTGCAATTAGTTTAACGTTGGACCCATATTTTCACCAAATTGACTGGACAATGATGAAATAAGGTGATAACGAACAATATTCAAGATCAAACTCCATATAAACAATACAAATCGGAAGCAGAGCAAACAACAACCCCCCAAAACACCAGAGCTGAGATCAGGTGTCACGGAGGAGTGAGCATCCCCTGCCGACCGGTGACACACCCGCCGTGTGCTCCTTGTCATGATCGGGAAAAATCGGGAAAATTCCATAGACAATAATACAGTGTGTAAATAATGGTCTAACAATTAATATGAAAAAAACGTCAGTCAGCATTTGACTTAATGATAGGTTGTATTTGCTGACAAGGTCACTGATCGACCATAAAACTTGCAAAATGATGACTTCAAACGAGACTGTTGATATCCTTGTTTCATCAGCTTGTTTGTCAAAAGCTTTCCTCGTTTTAAAAAAAAGCTGTCATACGTAGAGCATACTCTTGGGTATCGAATCAACTGAGAGACATAAACACCATATGCAGGCGATAAGGGTATATTGCTAAATCGACGATTGAAAAGTTGAAATTCGAAGTCATCACGTTTATCATAAAGGTTTGTTGTTTAGGTTACCATTAACGTCTTTTTCTAGTAAATTATCCAAATATAAAACAGATGTGTCAGAATCTGTGATATCCTATATTTCAAGATCACTGGGATATATCGAGTCGACATATGTATGGAAGTAACAATTGTTAATTGATAATACATCGTCGAATTTCCATGGGTACAAACTGCGCCCCGTTATAAGCAGACCTATTTTTGCATTCATATGAAACAGAATTATTCAGAAACTTCAACATGAGAAGAACAAAAAATACCTGCTGCGGCCTTTAACTCGACATTTCGATATTTGTTGGAAGAACTACATAAATAGATATTGTCCATCAGAAACTCAAGCATCTTTTTAATATCAACTTCAGAGTACTTGTCTGTACAATCAGAATGTTTTTAACAAAATAATTTTGCAAATGACCAATGACAAAGTAAGTAAATTTACTTGTTCCATTTTAATAGAAAAAGCAGCCGTCAATGATGTCAAAAAGCCTGGACTTTAGTTTATCATGAGGAATGGTTGTATACAGAGTTGAAAAGTCGGTTTTATATCATTGATTTCGGTAAAATTTTTACAAAAGTTCCTTTGAATTTTTAAGTATCAACATCTGATTTAAACCACTTCTTGAATATATTGTGGTACACTTTTGGAATATGTTGTTGTACAGCACTCCTGTAGTTTCTCCTTCACTGCTGTTAATATTTCAGTGAGGAGTAAAGAAAGAGGGTACGAAAGAATCTACAGAAAGTCTTTCATGATATCTGAGCAGAGTGGATGATTGGAGACAATTTTCTCTTCGTAATGTTCATTCAAACGCCTACCTTCGATTTTGGTTCTGAAACAAACTCCAATTACTTTTCTTTACTGGAAAATGCTTTTGACCATTCATATTAATTGAGCTTAGATGAATAAATCATTTCTATGTTTTCTTCTTGTCTGGTGTAGGTGATAATGAAGTGAAGTGTTTCTTCTTTAAGTTAATACTTCTACATAGAGTATACATGGCATTGGATTGACATTGCCCTAACAAAAAATACTATAGTTAACTATACTAATAGTATCAAAGTTTTTACTTTAGTAAATCAAAGATTTTACTATAATAAATCGAAGTATTTTTACTATGGATTTCAGATTGTTATAGTTTATGTTCTCCAATTCATACATGCACATTTTTTATATTATAATAAATGGAACTTTTACTTGTATATTCACATATTATTACCATTTAGATATTCTACTAGAAGACGTTATTGTTAACCTATCAACAAATATCTATGAAAGAATAACAGAAAGACATTTTTTGGATGAAGACTTAATTCTGGGTAGGGAGACATCACTATTTGGGAAATTTCTCGATGCAAACACTATACAGTGTGGGATGAGGGATTAAAAATGAAAAGAGAAAGTGAAAAATTGTCCAAATATATAACACCCTCTTAAAGTCTTCGACGATGGATAAATATCCTTAAAAATCAGAAAAAGAAACACTTAAATCTAAGATTTAAGGAAACTTGATTAATTTAGTAAATTAATTATAATCCGAGATGTAATCGAGAAATCAGTATGAAACAAAAAACTCGTTCGGGGACGACCATTTGTTCGGGGGGGGGGGGGGGTTGTATTGGTTGGCAGATTTTGGAAATAATCTGTTCTCGACTGGAAAGGAAGTAAATAATTCATAACCTGTCCTTGACCAGTGATACCCACTCACGAAAGAGAGTTTAGGAGATTAGGTGTTTCCTTTTTTTCTAAATCTGTCTTTGATTATCTTTTTTGAAAATAAATAATATGTCCTTGACTGGCATAGAAAAAAATTCTGACTCGACAAATTAAATTTTGCCAGTCCCCCCTCAAAACCAAGTGGTTGTCCATTAAAAAATGAAGTTCTCTGGTTGAGAAAATCCGGACAGATGAACCAGCGATTTATCTGTCCTAATTTTCTCAACCAGAAAGTACAGCTCTGCAGCTCATCAACAGCCTGAGTCGCTCTATGTGACTATAATTCTAATCAGCGATTTTAAGCGTCACTGCATATATAGTCAATTTTGGTTTCGGTACGAATATTATTGCCTCTGTTTAAAGGTAGAATAACACACCTGGTGCTATTTGATAATTTGGCATACCAATGCCTCTTTATTGTATACAGAAGTTCTGAACTACCTGCAACATTCCCAGAATGCAGATATTTTCACTTTTAATTATTTTCAACGAATTTTTAATTATTTTTCAAATGAAATTCAATTTCCTCATTTTTCAATTAACTCTCTTAAAAATAATTTCTTTTTCACTTAAACATTCTAAACTGTTAAGTATTAGTTAATTTACAACAAAATAATGTTCAATGGAATGATATATTGTTTATTATTTCTGAAAAAAATGTCTTTTTTTAACATTTAAGTTCAATTTCTTAAAAAACGTTGGTTGAATCTTTACCAAAATTTATAAATAGAAAATACACGTGAATGTCCATGATATGCAAAATTTTTATGTCAAATTGAAAGCAAAGATAGAGAAAAGTATATTTAAATTGCTTCAAAAGATCTGGAAGAGTTATTTTTCTTTATATGGTAGGGTCCAAATTAGCTAGGGTTTTTATTGCAAAAAGTCATATATCTATCTTTTTTTATCTTTATATATTTTTATCATAAAGTTTAAAGTTTTCCTTTGGTTTGAGTGGGACCACAAAGGGGGATCAAGAACAGAAGGGCCACAATTAGATATACTGATATGCACGTATCTTCATGCAGTTTAGATTTTAAAAAAAGATAAGGATTAACAGATGTATAGTTCAACACCCCACAAAGGCTGGTTTGTTTGTGTTTTTTTTTTTTTAAATTTCGGTCAGCAATTTCAAATTCGAATATATTCCACTCGCACGTACATAACCAAACACTATTTTATATATACCATATAAGCAGAATTTTTAGCGAGAATTCAATTTTGGCATTACAAACGAGGACAAACGCTAAAATTGAATATCGCTTACATTTCTCATTTACATAGCTCATTTCTTGACATTATAAAATTGCTAAAATTACTTATCGCTAAAACATATACCATTTTTAAATAAATGGCTAAATTTGCGTCTTGCTAAAAATCCACTTATACGGTATTCATATCTCCAAATCATAGTGCACTTTTTTGCAATATTCACCACTCATTTCCGGAAGTCCACACTTCAAGAAAAAGCGTTCTTTTGGGAAGCATCTTTCATTTCCTGTGAAAAAAAACACATGTTAAACTGGATTTACCTTTAAAATGTAATTACAAACACTTATAAAACCAATAAATTGGTATCTAAAACCTTGCAAATGAAATACATGTATCTTGAACAAAAGTATTCGTGAGAATAATAACCATGCACATGTACGAGATTTCTAGTGAGACTGGATCTTCGACTGTAATAATTGTAAGCATTTATAAATAAGTACACCTGTACCAAACTACATATACCTGTAGCCAAAATTATGTCACAATTATTAATGAAGAATTATCTATGAAAAAAAATTAAAGACTATTCTTACAATATTTGAACTTGGTCTGTAGTCAAAGCAAATGTATGAAAAACTGATAAAATTTAATTTGCAGGTATATTGCGTTAATGATCTGGGAAAAATCTTTCAGTCTAAAATTTTTTTTGCTCGAAAGAAAAAAGTTTTCTTTAAATTTCAGGCTCAAAACACTGGGTATAAAAAAGTAGATTTCTAATTAATTTTATTTTAATGAATAATTATACAGTTACAGAATTTTAAACTAGTAATTGTTAGAAATAATGGTTGATAGGGCTGGACTCATATTATGGTTTAACGTAATAAGTTTAAATAGTCCAATCACTAAAATTTGGTAGGTTGAAAAATATGCAATTGTATTTTTCTTTAGTAAAAGGTCCAATATATAAATAGAAAGGTCAATATACATATAGAACACAGGCAAGGTCGATACTCTGTAAGACAAGATTCTCATATATAAGTTTTATCTCTTAATTATTTTTGTAAATTATATAGTTTGATTAGTTATCAACCTTAAATTGTAATTGAACAATGACAAAAAAGTAGTTGATAAAACGAAAAGAACAAGCCGAGTGTCATCTCTCAAATACTACCAAAAAGTTTGACAAAAAATGTAAACAACTTACCTTGATATGTATTTACTCTTCATCAACTAAACAGTCCGATAAAATGTATTAAAAATGAGGTATCTTACTCACATGAAGTTCAAATGTTTTCCTCAGAACATCCAGTGTCAGACGACCCTGTAAAACATGCATCTCCGCGTCTTCCTTGCCATCTTCTTCTACAGTGGCAAAATCATTCAGGAGTACGACAGTTGGGTGTCGCCAAGGATGTTCTGCATCACCTAATATCACGTTAAGTACATTCTTTTCTGAATCGATGCTAAGATCTTCCAGTGCCATTTCAAGAAATTTGCCATTAATACTATCACAATTTAAAGGTCTTTCATGATAAAAGAGTAATATGAATTTTGCTCTTTTGATTGTGTCTTTATAATGTTTTGGAATCCGACGTCCTGGTATACAATCATCCGCATTCAATGTTACGTTCCATTTTACGAAAATAGACTGTCTCAGTATACGAATAAGGTTCCTTGCAAGCGGACATCTTTCTTCACATATGTGCAGAATGTAAAAATCTAGTTCTTTATCTTCATCAATGCAGTTGTCAATATGTTTCTCCCAGGTTGGAATGCATTTCCGGCATTGTAAGAGCCTCATCTTTGTTTCCTCAAAATTTCTTTTTTCTATCGAATGTACTGCTGCATCAGTGTACATCTGAAATATGAATTGCCTAGGTGGTTTTTTTTTTAGGTCTTTATCTATAATGAGTTTATTTAATATACCAATGGCATTTTCATAATCTCCAGCAGCTTTTAAATTTACAACCATCCTTTGATAAACAGCTGCAGTTTTAGGCTCACATTTCGAGTAAAGCAGGTATGCTTTTTTGTACTCCTTTGCCTTTTCATATAAACGAGCAAAGTCTTCTCCCGAGTGCAACCATTCATATTATTCATAATTTCTTACAACACCTGGATGCAAGAGGATTCACTTTTCAGTTTTGGAAGAACGTCTATATACAAAGACAAAATATCCGAAGCTCTATATAAAGCGTCTACTGCGTTGATTATATCATTTCCATTCTTACTGGTTTTAAATAAATCTAATCTTCAAAATGCTTGTTGCTCGTACGCAGAAATCAGTTGAATTTGGTTACTTGTTCTTCCTCTGTAACTGTCTGTTATATATCTAAAATTCTCCAGACCTTCGTCAATTTTTTCCAAGCATTCTTTGAACAAGTCCTAAATCATATCGTGCTTGATTAAAAGATGTGACTATTTGTAAGGCTTTTTTTAAGATTTCGTTCAGCATTCAGCAGACGGTCATCTCCTGGATACCGCGGTACATATCTAACTGATTTCATTTTCGCCCTCACTTGTCCGGAATCTTGACTCGTTTCCACAAATTTTTCTTTATCACAGTTGTTCTTCATATCAGGACTCCCCACTTTTAAAGATTCTTGTTTTGGCATGTTTTTACGATTAGGATGTCTTGCTTTCTTTTTTTCGCTATGTTCTAGTAAAACCATTTTTTGAAAAGTTAAACCAAGATGATGATAAGCAATGGTTGTTTCTCGAATGGTCAGAGATTTTTCAAGTATTTCTCTTGATTTCTCTAGATTTTTCTGATATCTCAAGTGCTGTCCGTAGCGCTGGAGTGCATGGTATGACTTGGGGTTAACTTCTATCGCCTTTTCAAAGAATTCCATGTAATTCTCGTCCTTATACTTGTCTTGATTATTGAAAATTATTAATCCAAATTCAGATAATGATGTTGATCTCAAACTTTTCGAAGAAGTGTTATTAATGACTTTCTTAAATATATCAAATGCCTCTGTATCTTCCCCTATCAACTCTGCATCCGTCTTATTCTGAATGGCAAGTAAATGTGTTTTTCTCCTTAGTGTCAATGCAAATAAAACTGCCAGCAATCTACAAATGTAGACATTTTGTCAACAGATTCACGGAACATCTCAATCGCTTTTGTTGCACAGAATGGACCGAGCTTTGAAATGCATATGGCTAATTCTGCTTTTGTAATATATTTGAGTTTTTGAAAATCGTCTCGTTTTGACAAACGCTTAAAGTTTCTAAGAAATATTTTTGCCTCAGCTACATTTCCTTTTCCTTTATGAAAGTGATAAAAATTACATATTGTAACTATATTTTCCGTTTCTCCTAGCGATGAGATCCCATTTCCCAGCTCAAGGGCCTTTGTGGCGAACTCCATTGCTCTTTTTCTTTCATCTTATTGCCAGTAAAGGAAAGAAACAAAGTTATGAAAACAAATAGATTCCTCAGTGGTGTCATATCCAAATTCAATGTCTTTTAGAAACTTATTTCGTCGTTCTTCCAACTTTTGGGGAGAGAAGGACTGGATTTCAGCTTCTAGGGAGAAGGAAGAAAGCTTCGAACATTTCTTCTAAACATGACTCGTCCTCTTCCTCACTGTTACGAAACATTGCCATCTACAACATGATTTAAAAATGATTTAATTTATGATGAGAAGTAAGTACAAACAAAACAAAATCAAAAAACAACAAACGCAAACAACTACTGTAAAAGTGGTTATATTGAGGGGTTGAAAGTTTGTCGATTTCAGTAAAATATAAAAATGGCGAGAAGAAACTTTGACGATCTGCAGGTATTTAACAATGCTCTTTAACAGGAATATGAAAGTTAACGAGTGGAAACGTTGACGATTATAAAACATTCGTCAATTTCGTCAACGTTTCCATCAAAGTTTCCACTTTTACAGTACATCAAAAGCAAAAGACAAAAAAAAAATAATAATAATAATAAAAAAAAAATAAATAAAAAAAAAAAATAAAAAATAGAAATAAAAAACAGAAATAAAAAACAAATTAATCTCGAGGGGACTTGTAAGCTTTCTTGAATTATACACTTTGTCTCATTGCATGTATATTTTAAAAGAAGACCAAGTGCTCAATTCATTACATACCTCTGTAACCCTTGTGTGTAAGTCGCTGTTTTTGGTATTTATTGCCATTTAGTGATATCTTCTATTCGAAAAGGCGATATCAATCATTCGAATTGAAAAGCTGATATCACTTACTAAAATAGGTGATATCACCTACATGTACTAAAATAGGTGATATCACCTACTGGAAATGAAATGGTGATATCACCTACTGGAAATGAAATGGTGATATCACCTATTCGATTTGGTAATATCACCTACTGGAAATGAAAAGGTGATATCGCCTTTTCGAATAGGTGATATCACATATTCGAATTGGTGATATCACCTTTTCGTTTTGAATTGGTGATATCACCATTTCGAATTGGTGATATCACCTACTTGCATTTCTTACAACATTTAATAATGAATCCTTCAAGACAATTTAGCTCTAATGAAAATAAAGGTTAAAATTTTAAAAGGCCTTCAACGAGCAATTTTATTCTTTAGCATTGATTCCAAATTGATAAAACTGATTTCATTACTCTTGATCAAATTCTTTAAAAAAGATTATTTTCATGGACTTTCTTGTGTCGTCTGCAGAGCAGATAGGCACTTAGGGATCACTTTTCCTGGCGTCTGTCTGTCTGTCACGACCTATATCACGAGAACTGTAAAAGGTATGGATTTGATATTTTGCACATATGGCTTTTGTAAATTACCATGGTAACTGACTTCGTAACCCTTGACCTTGACTGTTGACCTACTATTCAAAACTTTCATAGTGCCCTTATACAGCATAGTTTAGTCATTTAAGAGGTAAGTATATGCTATTTAGCATGTGCACATTTTGTCTTAAGATATTATGAAAAATACCAGCACTACAATCCACTAGTACTTGACCTTGACCTTTGACATACTTTGCAAAAAATACTCCAGGCAGTTTAATTGAACTTATGACTTTTGAATTTTGAGAGGTAGGATCTTGAAAATTAGCATTTATACATGTTAATGAGCTCATGATACTGTACCTTGAAATTGTATGATATTCAGTTACTACACAAACTTATATTTAAATAGTGGTAGAGCGTCTGCTCTAGAGTCGCGAATTAAGGAGTTGATCCTTACGTTGCGGGTTCGAATACCACTGTGGGACGTGGAGACCGGTCCTTTGGATGAGACCGTATAAACCAAGGTCCTGTGTCGCAGTCGGTGCTGATACGAAAAAGATCCCTCACTGCTCAATGGCCTTGAGTGCCGAGTATAGGTCAAAATTTGCAGCTGTCCACTGGCAATTGGTGGCGTCTCCATATGAGTGAAAAATTCTCCAGAGGAACGTTAATCAACAAACAAACAAAATATATTTAAATACTATGAAGATACATGGGGATCGGTATTCCACAATGGATCGTGTAGACTGACAATTACAGTGAAGACAGACTGAAATCTCTCTTTGAGGATTGTTGGAAACACGTTTTAATAAAATGATAAATAGCTATTTCTAATAATTTCAATTCAATTATTCATTTGAGGGTTAGGGAACCATATTTTCTTTGATTGTCAGATTCTATCGCAGTCTAATACCATCCAGGCAAATATGGAAGGGAATTACCGCCAAAAGTCTATTTATCTTGCTTTTATTCTTATTCTGCCTACTTCTTTATTCTTTATTATTATTGTAACTATATGTTACTTTATTGTTTTCATATTCGTCTTTATTACATTTCACTTGGAACTTTTTTCATTCTTCATTTTGTCCTTACTTCTATGTTGCTTTATTCTTGTAAATTCGTTCTTCTTTCTTTTAAATTGATACAGTTTCTTTAATAAATAATTATGATCATCTCTATTACAAATGTAAATTCAGTCACGCAAACCATGAAGCGCATTCAATGAAGACGAATACAAGTAGTGTGAATTTAATGCGGCATTATAACGCTAGGTGGCAAGGTGTTCGCTGCGAGTGTTGGTAAAATTAGGTATGCATACCCGGGGCTAGATAATTCGAGATTTTTCAATTTTCTGTCTTAATACTTTATCAATCGAGCCCAAATTTTCAAGTTATGTTAGTTATAAGTTATTTATATACGCGGTAAAATTGCCCCGAAATGCTCAATATTTTAGATTTTTTCGAAGATATTTGATTTCCAAGTTGGTAAAATGGGAAGGCAGTATCAAGCTGACATTTTTAGTGGTTTTTTTTTTTTTAATTCAAAAAGCTAATAAATTTACAAATTATTCTGATGTTAAACATCATATTTTAACTATTTATAAGCATTTCTTCTTTCAGATGTGCTTTTGTTGCTTTAAATAACACATTTTAAGAAAACCTGGGTCATTAAAACCGGACCAATGATGAAAACTCCAAAATAATTGTGTAGTTTCTGTCATCTGAAAAATATAACTCTATATTCATGTTATTTGTTGTATGACTGAATTTCAGTTTTATTGATATAAAAAATATTAAATATTTTGATAATTACTGGTATGCCCTTATTAATTGAGTGGTTTTTTAGGACCCCTATATATTAGCTAGCTTCCACTGAACTGACATTTCTTTATTTCAGGATAGTAACTGTTCATGCGCAGACGCGTGATTCTGGGGCTTCTGGGGACCGGGGCTATTCAGGTTTCGGCCAACCCATAATGCTCTGCAAAGTAGTGCGGAAAGTCATGGGTAGGCGTGGCCGGAGCCAGGCCAGACCGGGGAATACTATAGAAACTTTCCCCGGTTTTTATGAAAATATGTATTAATTTTTTGTATAGAAATTATAGCACTTTTCAATAAAGAAATAATTATCTCTAGTTAGCACACAGTGTTTGACATCAGAATAACTCAAAAAAATATTTTGTCAATGTCTCGTTTGGCAAAAAATACGTAAAATGTCGGCTTGATATTACCTACCTATTTTAGCAAATTGGAAATCAAATATCGCCCAAAATAATCTAAAATATTGAGATTTTCAAAATATAAATACATGTGCATATGTATACATGTATAAATATTGGCAACTTTTACACGAATACAGATAAAACTTAGAGACGTAGTTTCGTTTTTGAAAGGGGCAGCCAGAGAAAAAAATAACCTACCTAAAACTCTTGACATGCCAAAAAAAAAAAAAAAAAAGAGAGAGGAAAATTCTTCAAACTCGAAAATTCTATTTTTTGGGGACGGGGGTCAAACATCTT